CTTCATTAAGTACACTCTTGAAGGGAAGGTGGATTAATAGGAAAATGCATAGTAAGATCAGCAGACAAAAGCAAGGTAGAAAGTAGGTTGTTTTGTTTTTAAACAGCAATAATATTCCTATAAGTGTCACAGTTTTTTCTCCTTTCATATTAAAAACTCTGTGCAGCATTGTGATTTGACTCCGCTCAGTTCTGTAGAATAGCACAGTAAGGTTACACAGTCCTTGCAATATCAGTGAAGAAATGCCCTTCATACAGACTATTTTTTTCACAGTTCAGCTTTTAAGTAGATCTACAATGCCTACATCCAAACAGGCAACACGCAAGGTCCCAGCATTATGCACAAAAAAGTAACTAGCCCAGATCAGATCTTGAAAAGGAAAAAGAAAATGGGAAACTGCTACTAGAAGACTCATTCACAATCACACAGCCTCTAGTTCAGCAATTCACCCCACATTTCACTTCTGTAAATCAAATATCAACAGTTGATAAGTGAAACATCTTTCCTCACACCCACAAGAAGTCAAACACCTAAGATCAATCCTTTTCAAGATCTGAATGAGACCCTGACTTTGGCAATGCCATTAAGAACAGCAATATACACACATACAATACATAACCTAATAAGAGACGTTCACCATTTTCTAATCATATGCAAGCTTTAAAAATATTACTGTACCTACTTAATCCTCTACCCCAGTTTAATACTGATCTCATCTACAAGTTTTTCAGTATTGTTGAACTGTATCCTTTGAGGCAGCCCCACTTCAGTAGGAGTAGAAACTGCTTTTTTGCACTATGTGATAAAATTTCTTACAGCACTTTAACAAAGGTAAAATAACATACAGGTCCATACACAAAGGATCAGAAACCTAAGGAATAATTTTAGAAAAGTTTAAATCGCTATTGTGACTCATGATGTTTGCAGTGCAGATAGGTTTTCAGACTGATTTTGAAGAAAGAAAACGAGACTTGGATATATTAATGAGAATATTCTGGAGGGGAAGCTCACTGCAAGCAAGTAGCTGATGAGAGAACAAGAGAGAAAAGGCAAAAGAGACACATGACCATTGGATTTATTGACTTTGATTTCCTCTATGGAGTCCATAAAATACTCCACTAAAGGGTCCAGCAGACAACATAGGATCAATCCTATACAACATAAAGCAGAACCGCATTTAGTATGTATTTTAAGTAGTAATTGACTTTGAAATCTTTTGGGCAAATAAACTAAACTTAAATAAAGAAGATAGTATCTTTAACCAAAGTGGCAACAGAAATGATGGAGTGACATGGGCAATTAAGCATACACATCACAAATAACAACAGCCACCCTTAAGGTAGGCAAACAAATTGATTTTCTGCTTCTGTGAAGCTTAACAAGTGTTCTTCTAACAAACTTGCTTCCCAAAACACTCTCAAAGTACCACACTGATCAAATTTATTTCTTCCATTTAAAACAAACAACAGCAGCAAAACCCAACAATAAGCAAAACAAACAAAAACACCAGATGCTTATCTTTCAAACCCAGTATCATAATATCCTTAGAAGACCTCTAAAAGCACAGCAGCTAGTAGATACTGTGGTAGAAAGTTTCCTTTCACTCTCATCATAAAAAATGCTTCTAAAGATATTGTCAAACATAATATGATGATTAGAAATGATTGACTGGCTTTCTGCCATCGTACATTGTACTTGCTCAAAATTTATTTCTCATGCGACCTTATATGTGTAATAAGGATAGACATATCCAGTTCAGAATTGACAAAACATCATTTTTCCTCTTTGCTGAGCTAGCTTCCCCCCCCCCAGAGCAATCTCACTAATATACAGTTGAAGCATGCTGGCAGAAGTCAGTTTGCCTCTTCATAAGCTGTGTAGGTGCTTGCTGTATTTAAAACAGATTACAGTCTATAGTAAAAATGATTGATTTGGATCCAATAGAAGTACACTGAGGTACACAGCATACTTTTCAAAAAGACCTTAGTAGACTTTATTAATAAGATCCCCCTTAACTCTAGGGTTAAACTCTAGTTTACCCTCTCCATAGGCAAACCAAGAAAACTCAGTGCACAAAAGCACCCTCAACACTTCTCTCGTGTCAAGGCCAGCAAAAGCTATAACTTGACCCAGCCCAGAAAACAGTCTCTGTGATAACCTCATCAGCTATTTCTGCTAAGCTTTAGACGACGTCTGTAAGCCACCGTCAGAATTGCTCAGAGAGTTAAAACGAAGGAGAGAAGGCAGTGACAAAAGGACTTGCCGAACCCACCGGTGAGCCTCTGGTGAGTAGAAAAAAAAGTCCTACAGACACCACCTGAGAAGCCCCAGGCCAACATACTGTGCTTTATGTCAGCTGATAACTATCAAGAGAATTTACCACAAAACATTGAATCTCCACATACAAAGCATTTCACACAACAGCAAAAGGCAAAATCTTTCTCAGCCTAAGTCTTACCTGAAACTACACCGTACCTCCTTCATTAGTGCTACCCAACTGAACAGAAGCAGAGCCAGTACAGAACCTGAACCTCCTCTCCCCAACAATCTCTGGCAGAAATCAGTTACACAACTGCCACAATCACAAAGGTGTTAACCCCTTCTCCAGCAGGCTGATTCTGCAAGCACAAGTTACAACTGCTTCTCCTGAAGGAAACTTCAAGGGATAAACCAGTCCCTGAATGATAACTGTGTTTGAAGTAGTCATTACTTCTTAGGTACCCATCACTTAAGTTTAACTGAAAAGACATCTCAGGCTGCTGCCTCTTTAGGTAGTCTGAAAAGCTGCTGAGCCTATTTTGGATAAAAAGTAACTTTTTCTCAGCAAGATGTACTTTAGGTGAATACACTAAATGAAATTAGAGACTACAACACAACAAATATCATTTGTAGATGGTGCATAACTTTTAAAAGAATTCAATTCCTGAAAGCACTCAGAGACACCAAACTCCTATGCTTTAACTGCAACTCAAGTTGAGAGCACACAGTGAATTTTTGTCCATTGCTTCCCATGACGCGCAAAAATTTAGGTAATGAAAAGTGGTGAGAGGAACTGGGAAAGAGAAAGCTAGAAAGACCCGGTAGTGGCAACAGTGTAACATGCAGGGCAGAAAAGGAAATTACAAGGTCCCCTATGGAAATCCAGGCAATTCTCATCAGAATAGATGACACACAAGACAAACGCTTCTTCCAGTACATACATGCAAATGATTCAACTCCCATTATTTATGTGAAGATTTGTGGTACTTTGCATCCTTTCTCCTTTAGTACAGTTGGCAGGATTTGGATTCAATTCAGTTTCTCTAAAGCATTACATAGGGCTGTCTCATCTACAGAAGACTTGTAGTTAAGGAAGGAATAAGTATATCAGGTGTGTGTTACGCAACTTCTCTTTTAGCCCCAGTCACAAAAAATGGTGCATCTGAGGACTTTTGTGAGGATTCTAAAAGCAGGAAGCTATTGCCAGACATTTTGTCCTGCAACGGAACATTAAACTGTATAATATTTTGTTCTCCTTTCAGATAACAGGCTTCACTCTCTTCTTTTCTATGTGTAATAAATTGCCTATTACAGAGCATGACCTGCTAGATTTGAGGGTAGCTGTTAGGTATAAAATAAAAATATGATATTGTTACAATTGGAAAGATTAGCATGACAGAAGGGCAACACAGAAGTAAACACCAAAGGGACTAGCGCAGATGGAACAGTGTTACAAAGGAAAAGAAAGGCACTCACCTGTCTCTGAGGCTCACAGAAAAGACTCCACAAGGGAGGAATCTCTAACTAGAGATTCTTTTCTAGAGGCAGTCAGCCCTTAAATGGGGTCTGAGAGGTGCAGCCAGGCTCCACCCCTTCCACTCACACAGTTGAACTGCCTTCAGCTGTGCTCCCAGGGCTGACCGGGTCCTTCCCCAGGTGCTCAATCAGTGGATCAGGCCATGACTTACAGTTACCATAGACATCTCATTTGCAATTTTCAGAAATCTGAGGTGGTTGACCTGGGTACACAACACATAGGGAACACTATTTTTTCTTTCCTCTGCTTTCTTCCAGAACATGTAGCAATGAAGTACTTTCCATCAGTATACTGTAAACCTTAGTCTCCTACCCAGAGGCAAGACCATGAAGTGTAGGAGATCATTTATCATAGCTCATGAATTATATGTGTAAAGAGAATATTTTCTGTAGTACGATGGGGGAAAGAAGGGTAAAATTTGCCAATTGCAGTTATCAAGGCAATGCAGGCTTTGCTAGAAGCATAAAATAATTAGGATGACGTCTCTGATCAAAGCAAGTTGTGCTCTTGCTTTTGAGGAAAAGCTTCTGAGGAAAGGCTCAGTCAGCATTTTGATAGAGTAAAACTGAAGTCCTCAAAGGTTGAGGTTATTAAAGATTTTAGAGAGGGCTTTTTTTTTTTTTTTTTCAATGAAATCAGAGTTAGTTAATTCTCTAAGTACACTATATTTGAGGTAAGCATTTTCTCTAAAATATTAACTAGATATTTCACTTGCTGTTCTAAAGCATTTTGTAAAGTTATAAAGCTGAGCAATAACTGCATCACGTTGTAGCTTTCAGTAGTTCCAGTCAGCATAGTCCAGTCTATATAGAGGACAGCAGACTGGGAGGTATAAATTTACTCCCTTCAGCTACCTGCAGAATTAGATAATACACATGATTTTTCAGACAGAGACATCCAGATCTACCCAGCCCTTAAGGAAAGGATGTCTGGGAAATTAGGTAGGTCATTTCTGCTACAAGTTCTAAAGATAACTGCAGTGCAGCCACAAGCATCAATACTGTCAGCCACTGCTAAACATAACAATTATGCTTGTTCTTGTGCTCTAGTTAGGAAAGAGGCACATTAGAGAGGCTACATCCTCCATCCTGAGCTGAAAAAGAAACAGAGGAGGTTACTATGCTTTAATTACAAGCACATCTGCAAGGTAATTTGCTGTAGGGATGGCACTTCCCACTTTTCTCATGGATAACTGATAAAGAAATGATAAGAATGCATTTTATTTCTGTTGCTTGGTGAATGATGAAAATCAGATAGCTTTCAAACTTAATTAAACATTTGAATTGCAGATTTGGTGCTGAAATTCTGTGAGGTAGTAAGACCTCACAGATTTGTTCTAAAACTGTGGTCAAGTTTCACCACTTTGCCATCTTTCAAGTGGAAAGGCCCGCAGAAGGTACTGGTATTTTGGATCTTGAAGCTCTGGCAGCTTCCAAAGTTCTCTGGAATGCTGCATGGTGTTTCCATTGGTGTTACTAAAAACTTAACTAGTTATTTTTCCTCACACATCAATTGTAATTTTTAGCCAGTTCTTAATCCAAGCCATTTCCTGTTCATCACAGAGCATCCTGCAATCAACATCCATTCAGTTTTTAAGAATAAACACCCAAGATTTCAGCAGGATCCTTTAGTATTCTTTAAGACTGTGTGTGTGAGATGCAGAACATTTACATTAGGCTTTAGATATCTTTTTAATGAACTTGACCAGGCAGCTGTGTTATGCTGACTAAGGTAAAACATACTACAGACTTCTGACAGCACGGGACTGGAGCCAGTTGCTTGTTTACAGCTAATAGTCACTACAGATTTAGTTCCAAGTTTACTCAGTGTGGTCTTCTCCCATTTTCCCAACCTGGAAGGAAAGAAAAAAAGATAACAGAAGTTAGCACACAAGTAATTATTTTTCTTTCCTCTAAGGAATAATGATTAGTCTTCCATAGCAAAGGTAATTTGCATTCACTTTTCCAGTAAGTATGCTGTGTTTATGCAGTTACAGCTGATAAAGGCTAACAGGTAACGACAAGCCTCTCTACAGAATTCAACCCTTTTAACTAGATTTTGGAGTTTACAGGCTGCCAATTGTGGGTAGCTGGGGTTATGGTATTCTTCCTAACACTTGCTTATTTTTAAGCTTACAAAGATCTTAAAAGTTTTTAAAAATCCTCTTAAGATTGTAAAATTCATTTGAGGCAAGAGATAGTGGCAAAAGAGCCTCTATTGGCTTCACTGATCAGTTTTTGCAGCAAATGATTGTGCTTTCAGGTGCATCAGTAAAATAGAATGAAAGTATATAAAATTTCATACTTTTTCTGTGTGCCTAACATTGTACATGTGCACCTATCTTTGTAAACTACACTGCATTCATTATGCCAGGTTTGTTAGGTACACATAGGCAAGCCCACTTTTGGAAAATACAGGATTCCATTGTAAAACAATTTACCTTGAGAATCAAGTCGTTTCAGAAAGCTCAACCACAATCTTTGCTTACTAATAATAGGGCATTCTTGATGGAGAAAGTATTTGAACACTGCAGAGTCTTTAATGTTTCCTGTGACTACAGTAAGTTGTACGCACTGACAGGAAGCAAAGGTCTTTTAGTTGCATAGGTTCACAGTAGGAGATTAAGATAATTGAACTGCATCTTATAAATGATGGGTATTAAGACAGTATACAGAAATTCCACCCTGTGTCTGAAAAAGACTACCAAAAGAGAACTGCATTCATCTTGGGCATTTGACAGCTTTTTCCTCATTCCACAGTTTTAAAGATTACTTTTACACTGACTCATTATTTAACCAAACTTTGTACCCAGGAGCCATTTGGGATATTTGATAACACTAACACATCTTCCATAAATGGCAGCATTTTATTACACATTCCAGCTTCCTAGGTTCTAAATTTTCAGCTCTGAAACAACAAAGCACTTGCACAAACTTCAAATGCCACCTCAGATGCACAGGAAAAATGGTATATTTTGCTAACTTCCTAAAGATGATAGAGATTTTTCTTAAGGTGTTTTCCAAGACATGTTAAAATTTGAACTTACATAGCTTCTCAGTCGCACTGATTTGGTAAGTGTATTTTCTCTACCAGCTGTATTTTGATTCTAAATTACATGGAAGAGAAGCAATTTATTCTGCTTCATGAAACAGTTCTGAAGTTTTCTATTATGTTACTAACATCTTAATTGCTTTTTTTTTTTTTTTTTTTTCTGTTTATTCCAAAACCTTTTAAAATATTTTGTTTACCCTTTTTCTTACGACATAACTCATTCAGCATAACAGTTGTATTTGTCAAAATAGAACAAACAATTTCTGCTTTGGATGATTTAGAAATCACATTACTTTATTGCCATGTACCCCACAATCATTGCTGACCACTCACATTTGAGACAGTGGTCCTAGTTTGAATGGCCTCCGCAAACTGCAGTGACTGATAATATAAAAGGTATCATAGAAGTTATTTTTCCAGGTAGCATTTGCAAAGACAGCTCAGTGGCTTAACAACTAAATAATGCACATTTGATTTTCAAAAGCAAATGGGATTTTTTCTAGGAGCCAGATTTTGAGTGTACAGACAGATTTCAAAACATAGATTTGCAATGCTTTTTATCATACAGGAAAACACCTGCGAGATTTTGAAAAGCTTACTGGTTTTCTTACCTGGTCTTTCAACATCTAAATGCCATTTACAGTTTGGCTCTATGTCAGGACTGATATTAAGCCTTGGTTTGCAGGTTTCTTTGTTTCTTGCTTTAATTTCCAATAGTTTACATGCCATATCCTATGGTAGAGAAAAATAACAGCCTTTCTGTGGAACACTCTTGATTACATGGAGAGCAATGAAAGCCAGTTGAAATGAGTATAAGCCATTTTACCATCTTAACAGGTTTTGGATCTGACCACAACAAAAGACTCTGTTGATTACTTTTAGTAATGGCACTTTTCATCTATTTAATTATTCCTCACAAACGCCTTTAAAAGGATTTATTTTCTACACAATACATAGATAAATTATAATGATAAAACATAACGTGACACCATTATTCTCTAGGAAAACGGTCATAGCTTTTGTTTTATTTTCTTCATGTTTAATGCAAGTAATTTTCCATACATGCAGAAAGCTGTGTGTATGATCATTTCCAGCAAAGATCAAAGGAGAATTTAATTTCACAGCTTATCAATAAGAAAATCTTTCATTTTCTCAACTAATGTTTATATTCATAGGTTGGAAACTTGAGATAAATTTCCATAGAAGAATAAAAAAGTATTCATTCTCCTATGAAGGCTGCAGTCTGCCTGCACATAGAAGAAAGCAACTCCTGCCAGACTGCTTGTTTCCTGGCTAGATGCTGGACAAAAACCAAAAAATATTTTAGTGCTCCTTCTGCACCAATGCACCATTCAGCACAATTAATTCCTCCACCAAATAAAAGTTGAACAAAACTGACGTGTGACTTCGTGGCTTGAGACAATCAGAAAAATGCTACTCAAGTCCATGTGCTCTACTGCAAATTAAGTCACTGCTATCCTTCAGTTGCTCTTCTAAAAACGAAGAGAAAAATATTTACACAATAGGTGCAGATCTGCATAGAAGCCATTGATGTTATAAGCTGCTTAGCAGTTCTACCAGATACAATTTGCCATGAAGCCCATGGAAGGTAGGGAACCTAACCTCAGGCCTTAAAGAATTTAGCCACCTTATTTTCAAACTTGCCATAAATAACAGCCTAGTAAAGATAATTATTTATATGTGACTAGTGTACAGGTACAGAAAGATACTACAGAAGAATATACATTAAGATGTCCTGAAGAAGAATTCATTAACAAAATCAGAGCATAATTAGTTACTAGCCAAAGTTATGTCTCCAAGCATGACTAAGTATGACTGACAGTAATGCTGTGATTAAATGTATGTCCGTCCTAAAAGTGAGGGAGCTGTGAGAAACAAGGAATGCACAGAATCCCAGAGAGAATGACGCACATTCATCTTGTCTGTGCTTGCAGAATCATCAGCCTTGAGTAAGGAAAGACACATGATTACATTTTCCTAACAAAAGTCTGCACTATATGAGAAGGAGATTCATTATGTTGATAAGGATTTTAAAGTATTCCTTTCAGCTAACTGTGGAAAGTCAGTCACAGAACTATTTTGTAGACACTTTTAGCATAACGTATAGGGATGGGATGATCCTTGATCAGCAACACCATTAAGCAAGTAAGCACACATTCAGTTGAAGGCATGTGATTAATCCCAAACTTCAGCAGACCTCTTAGGTTTGAATTTAAGATTCCGGCGCACCTCACGGTTCACTACTCAGACAAGCAGAGATAGCCTCAAGTGCTCGGCTCAGAAAAAGAAATCTCCAAAAATGTCATTTTGATTTGAAATCTAAATTCATCCTAAAGAAAAACTCTGATGTGAAAGTACATTTCTTTCACCTACAGTAGGCAAAAGAGACATGTTCAGGTCTTCTAGCCTGTAGGCCTGTGCCATTCCTCCACAAGTACAAAATATCAAAAGTTTTTTGATGAGGTGAGCATGAATGAATTCTCTGTTCTCCAAATCACCAAGACTAGGCTGCAGAAGAATTCTCTGCCTAAAATATGGAGAAAGAATGAAAGGAATGTGGGTGTTCTTCCCTCTGGGGTTTAGTCTTGTTTATTTTAGAAGGCTAGCATGTCAAAAAGCTGACTTATACTCCACAGCCATGTGTGAGTGATTTATATAATTTAGTGTAATTTGAAAAGCAGTTCTCTGCAACTCTGACTTCAGCAAAGCACAGAAATGTGTGCTTGAATGCCACTGTGAACAGATCTTTTCCTAAAACTAAGCTGGGCACGATTCATTCAGCAGTCCAACATTTTATCCTCTTTTACATCAACAATTGTTTTTTTTTTCAAAATAATATTATCGAGGCTTTAAGAATTTTATTTAGAGCCAGGCTGTTGAAAGAACAGGGTCTGCCACAACCAAAAGACAGATATGTGTCACCAAAGAGAGATGCACAGGACAATCCAGGAGTAAGACACTTGCAGGCAGAAAAATCATGCTGATTTTTCTTTCATGAAAGAGCCCAAGTGAGAAAGAGAAGTCATAGGAACTGAGAGAAAAGGCAGCTACAGAATATTGGTGCTGTGGCCCAGAGGGAAATTTGATAGATGAAATTATGAGCTGGCAAGAGCTAGAAAGGAGTTTCTGGTACCCACAATTTTTGCTAAGGGCCTAGAACATCAGAAAAGTTGTGCTGTCAACCACTTTCACACAATAATTTCTATATTTCTTCTACTGTAATGCATCAACATAATGATACTGCCTATCTTGTCAAGGCTCAAAAGTAAATACAGTAAAAAAAAAAAAACAAAAGCAAACAAACAAGAGACAACAGTGAAAGAGTAAACACAAATAAGAGAAATGCAACTTGACAGGCAAGTTTCAGGCTTTTTTTTTCCCCCTCCTAAACATAACTGTGATTTCCTGGGGTATAGTATTGTTCAGATTTTGACCCACTACTGTTTATCATATAGACATCAATGTCATTCAGCCTTCACTCTGACCTCATTAGTCATTACAGCAACTCCATGTTAGAGTCTTCTTACCCTTCACATCAGGTTTCTGGTTATTTCCATCAAAACCAGCAACCTCTCACTTCTAGCAAATCCTGATGAACATAACAGAATGTAGCAATTAGTAGAAGCCAAAGGCAGCAGTATCAGAACTTCATCTTCCATGAACACTTCTCTCACATTTCTGTACCCATATATGAGGTCTAACAAATTACTGTGTTTTATTTTGCAAGATCTTACTGCATGAAGTCTTAGTTCGTTTGCCAAGACAACTTATTCCTCCAGATAAGGTGGATGCAGCCAGGTCTCTTATCTCTTCTGTATGGGAGTCCCATACAGTCATGCCTTAGAGGACATTCACACTTCTATTTGAAACAGAAGAAAATTAGAAGCTAGACTGCATAGCTAAATTATACAGGGAAGGAAATGTGACAAGGGCAACTAGGACACAACCAGTTCTTCAAGGTGTTAAGTTTTATAGAACAAGTATATTAGTACTGAAGCAAAATTCAATGCCTCTAGAAATTACTGTGTGTCATAAGCATCAGGATTTCACAGCGGCCTTAACATGAATTATTTATTTTTCTTTCTATTTATCATTTCAATATGTAAAGTAAGCACGTTCACAGCCATTTCCCAGAGAGCTGCAGCTAGACAATTTTCAAAGCTAAACTGAGATCTTACTTGGACATTAGTCACACCCCCATATTCAGGATTCAGTCACTTTAAAGCATTCTTTCAGGATCTCACGATAATTAGAGCTGGTGAAGTCAAACCATTGGCCCATGCTTTACCAACACTGCTGCAGCAGCTAGCCCATGACAGTGACTACACAAAACTTTGTCAGAAGCATCAGCCCAGGCCTTGCCTGAAACAAGCTGCAGTTTGCCACAGGCACAAGTTGCACTCATGCTGTTGTCTGTGACCACGCCATAAGTCAAACCAGTGACATTACATGCCTTTATATTGCCTTCCTTTCTCCTTGTGCTCAAAAAAGGGCAAGTTATTTTTAAACCAAAACATATCAGTGACCTTTGCACACTGCTTTTCTTGCCTTTTCTGAACTGCCTTTTTCTGTTACTATATTGGGATTTTTGCTTCAAAACATTTTCAATTTAATTCTGCCATTTCTCATGTTACTTGAGGCAGCACTCGCTTATAAGAGCATCATAATTTTAGTTCAAAACTATTCTCATAAAATTACAATATATACACTGAAAGCTGAAATTGCTATCCATTGTGTACAAAGCACTTAAAGTGTTCTCCACTAATTACTGCCTGTAAGAAGAATTTTATGGATCTGAACTATGTATTACATAGTTGCATTTTTCAAGTCACCCAATACAGAAATTCTGAAATTCCGGTTTGTTTTAGACTTTATTTTGAACTTTATTCTGTCTACAAAGGACCAGATATTTCCCACTCAGCATAAACTAGAGGGTACAAAGGTAACTTGTCAACTTAAAATCTTATTAGAAACTGCACAGCGTTTTAAACAAACTCAGCATTTTTTGCCAAAGTGACCAAAGCTTCTTTCCAGAGCACAGAGTTGGAATTTATTAGGTAATTAAAACATCCCAATCATACAAGCTACAGAGTACCTGGACAAAAGTGAAGTCTCTTGAACAACATTGGCCAAGCCGTTCATCTCTATTTCTCCTTCCAAACCTTTGTCATCTTGAATTCTTTAGAGCACACGATGGTAGTCATTATTTAACACAGTGCAATGAGGCCTCAAAATTTGTTGACAAATCAGCGAATTAGCGTAAAACATATATAAGGTGCCAGTGGAGATAGTGGAATGGAGCTGAATTTAACACAATCTCTAAAGTTTTAATAGTACAAAAATAGTAAAAGGTCCAAAAACTCCAAATTTATCAAGCTTTTCAATGTTTGTGCCAGATATTTTACTGAACTACAGACAAGCACTGAATCTGAATAGCAGTAGAGGGCTCCTCATTTGTCATCTGACACATACACATTCAAATTTTTGTGCACCTTGTTCTCTTGCTCATTTCTTCACAGTCACATGAATCATAAGACGTGGTATCACTCTACATTCCTTTTACACTTCACAAAAAACTCTGTATCCATGAAGATCCACTGAAGTTTCCCACATCTAACACTTCACCTTCACCAAACCTGCTGCTCCCTTTTAGGATTTGACAAGACATGGCAATGTTGCCAAGAGGAATCAAACCACGTGAGCTTGCAGCTTTGAGCGCAGTAAGAGCACCTAAATTCCATCATGTGGTACCCTGGAAGGCTGAACCGAATGCAAAGTTTACAATAACTCCTCAGCACAACAAAGCAATCCCAGATCTGTTATTTTAAATCTCATCCATAACTTTCAGTTTGGCTTTCATGCACACACAGACCTTTACGGAATCATCATTTCAGTTTTGTTTTGCATATAATTTTGTTTAGCATTCCTTTTTTTGTTTAGCTACCACTTTTACTACGTCATGGTTTTGACAGCTTCCTCCCAAGCTAAAGGTTCTTGCCTATGCACAGTAGATTGAAAGCATTCTTATTAATATTTTACCATAATAACTCTCAACACTTCCGTGGTCTTTTGAGAACAGACATCAACCAAAATTGATTAAATATTACAAAAACTGCATTTTTTAAAAAGAATCTTGAATCATGCAGTATTTCAGTAAATGATGTAATGGTCAGAGTAAAGCAACGTAGTTCTTGAAGCATAACCTGCCAGATAAAGTTCTTACATTCTCCTATCAATTAAATATGAAAATCGGTTACTTTGAACAGCACTAATTTCAGCTATAAAATATATACTTAATATTTTAAACAGTGCAGCAACTTCTTTGTTTCTAGAATTGTCAAGTATGTGACAATATTTTAGTATGCTTTGGCCTATTAATTCTGTACTCTAAATATTTAAGCCACTTGCTTATAATAAAAAAAGCACAAGGTATATGTTGAGAAATGATTAATCATTTACATTTTTATAATATTTTCCATCCAGTAAAACTAAGAGAAGTTTTATAGGTTGCACAAGGGTCCGTTTCCTTGTTACAGCCAAGCAGGGTTTCTGCAAAGCAGAATTTGAATACAGAACTAATTTAATAATAGATAGCAACCTTCTAGTGGAAAAAAAGAGTAATTTATTCAGTTGAAGTTGGAAATTCAATAATTTAACAGCAACATAGTACCCTTGATTCGCTTTGGTGCACTGACTGATATTGGAGCGGAGTGCAACTCACAGCTAACCTCTGGGAAATCTCTACCTTTAGGTATACAAAATTGTATTGGTCCAGCATTGTATAATCAATCAACATACAGGTGTTATAATTAAGAAATATACAGGAGAGTTTGGCTAAGCAGGTTATTAAACCAGAAAGAATAGATAGAGGGTTTACCCTTGTCCTGGGCTTGCTGGAAAACTCCAAAAGGAGGGATCTCCAGAAAGAGATCCTTCCCCACTGGTAGTCAGCTCTTAAATGGGGTCTAGGAGAGGTGAAGCCAAGCTCCATCCCCTTCGGTAGCACAGGTGAATTGCCTTCAGCTGTGCTCCCAGGGCTAATCATTGCTCATCTCAGGTGATCAATCAGAGGTTCAGGCTGTGATTCAGCAGTTCCCATACAAGTAAGTGTCTATTGACATTGGAAAGATGGATTTGTGCCCTTAAAGCTTCTATCATGGTCATGATGGAAAATAAACTTGAAATCTGAAATGCCATTTATTGTTGCAAAAATCAGGAGCATGACTCAGTCTTTGCTGTTATAGTGCTAGCTTGGGTGATATGGCATGAATGATTCTGTGTCAGCAGTACAGCTATACCTCTTAGTGTGCATGATGTTCTTTCCTCTACTGCTGATCCCATATGCTTAGTCTCTCATGCATGTTTTCTGTAACTCTTCATATTACACATTAACTTGCCTGCATTTTCTTCTTCAGATAGCAGTTTTGGTCGGCTTGCTACAAATCTTAAGACAGGGCATATATTCATCACCAAAATGAAATAGGATAAGACAGCAACCCAGACAGAATTTATGCAGAATCTGAAGAAGAGCAAGTGACGGTTAACACATTTACATAGCACGTAGGAGCTACCTGCAGATTTCCAACATGTAATTCTTGATTTGATTCTCTATCACATCTGCTACCTAGGAGACTGCCTGTGGCTACTAAATGCAGTATGACAGTTGAAATTTGCTAGCCCTAAAGTTGGCCCTATTCTGAATAAATAAGAAAATGATTTTGCACTTTTTCTATGTTTTTTGTCTCGCTGACTCGAAAAAGGCAGTCTGACCCCTAGGACACACTTTGAGGCTTTTGGTTTTGCGTTTTAAAAGTGCTGAAGGGCAATCATGCCACTGATGCAATGGTATGATTATTAATCATTGGTTCTTCATAGTAATTTAATTAGATACTTGGGAGTAGCAATTTTCTTTTTATGCTAATTATGGTACTTATTGTCCAGATTTCTTATGCTTTAAGTTAGTTGACTGAAGTGCCTAGAGAACAGATATCTTCTGATTTTATGAAAGGATCGGAACTAAACGGACAATCACACAAAATAAGTCTGCTCTGATATTAACCCACATTCAAGAAAAATATTTAGCAAATACTTAGCTGTTTTGAAGCTTTAGTTATTTATTTTAGCTTTTCCTGATGCTCACTAAAATCCTAGCCTCAATAGAAGAATCCATTCTAGAAGATGCAGAGTGCCAACAACTTGTTTCAAGATCCACCCTGCCAGTCCAGGGCAGGCATACAGTGGTGCTGGGTACAGAGGCACACACTGCTGTTCACTCCTAAAATATGTAGCATCTCCTCAATCACAGACATAATTAAACAAACTGGCCAGCAGAGACCTAATTTACCTTCTAACCAACCATCTGTGCACTTAGGCTGGCTCCAGGATGGCAGGATCTATAACCCATTTCACCCCCACCCATCCCTACCTATCTTTTTCTGCAGTGACAGAGAGTGAACTGGAATGCAGATGCAAAATGAACCAGTTCATGGAACTTAATCAGAAATACAGAGTCGGATAAGCACGACTTTTGCTCAGTTTTCAATTTCGCTGCATGGTGGCTGACCAAACAACTGTAGAGTTGTCAGCTCCTAAATGAGGATGATAGCAGGAATATAGAGCTGAGTTAGCAGGAGTAAACAGTTGAATCTGCTGATTCAGCCTCTCTTTTGAAACTTCCTTGTTATGTTGGCTTCTCACCGCTACAAGGGCAGGGGAAGAGCTCAAGATATCTCCTCCAGTAGCATCTGTACAAATCAAGGGGGGTTTTTCTCTTACTTATTTCCTGAACATCTATTTTAAAACTTTTCCTAAAACATAAACCTGAATTTAATAGAAATACTTGAACATGAATTATAATCTCCTTCTTTAAAATCTCATCTCCATCTTGCTCATCAATAAGTATTGAGCTTGTTGTCTTTTTTATCTATCTATCTCTACCTAAATTTCAAAGTAGACCTTCCTGTATGGTAAGGACTGACAGCTTTATAGCAACGGAAAGCCCTATGATCTTTGATTCTTAAAGAACAAAAACATGAAAAAGTGATTATTTTAGGTAAGTCTATGATTCTATGAACCTGGAAAGGGTTCTGAAGGTTAGGTACAGCATTCTCCTTTGCCTGAAGCCACTGCACTTAATCACCAATGTTTACAGCGTTCTGGATATGAAGATCAAAAACAAACAAACAATAGAGCTAGTGAAGATTTTTAAGCGTCTCTGACCCTTCAAAAGTAGTTTGTGCACACCCAGTGTGCCATCCCCTAAATAATTATTTGTACAGCTTAGATATCTCCTGCACAATTAGGCCATGGCTTCACTATTTCAAACTTGAACTCACTAAACCTTTGAACTCATTACAGTAGCACTCTGTGGCATACATGAAGAACTTAATTTAAAATCAATATATAATCCAATTACTAACCTTGTGAACAGGAGAGAGATCTCTCCCAGTATTCTTTTTCCCCTATTGTGGATGCATACTAAGCTCATATAAAGATTTTTGAATGTCTAGTTGCTTATAACTTGTTTCATGTTTGCAAAATTAATGTGATTTTTATTACCACAAGTGATAAATATGGTTTTAGAAATCATTCACCACTCAGACACATCACCTGAATTAAACCCTCTCAAAATATTTGAGCCGAAGCATCCATCCCACCATCACTTGAAAAGGCAGAACCGTGTGCATGCTGAAAGGACACAGCCCATAAGTTAAGGCACAGACAGTGTACACAGCACAATGAGCTCTTAGGGGAAACAATTTTTTTACTCTTTGGTTTGTGGAGCATCTATTTTATCACACTACACTTTTCAGTTTGGCCTTCGCTGATGTACTGAAGATCTCACTTGGGAATTCAGAATGATGATTTTTCCCCCACTTCCCTTAAACAATTAACTGTAATGTGCAATGCAGCAATAATTTACAATGTGGCTCTAGGCTAAAAGCCTACTGCAGATTCTTTGCTAGAAATACTTATTAACACAACTAATATCAAGGTCATTCTCAAAGCCTTTCAAGCGCATCTATAGAATTTTTGCATTTGTTTGCCTAGAGTTAAGCTGTAAGGTCGATTACATTAACAGACACACATAAGATCTGGTTTTACTGAATCTGTTTTAAAATTTATTGTCAAATGATTTTCATGTCTTAGGAAGCAAAAGCTCCAAATATAAATGCATGTCTGACAGAAACATTTATATACAGACCTATTTAAAAATTGCAGAGTCTATCTGTCTTGATACTATGACATCTGAATATATAGCATTGCTGTTTTTGGGGAGTTCAAATTTTGACCTCCATATATTTTCTTACATACTAATGAAATGAATTTAAAACTTAAAATAACCTGTTATTTCAAGTGCTTGTAAGTTTTAGGCAGTAGGCAGTAAATTTACTTTTATATAAATAAATGTTATCTCATTACCAACAATCTCCATTAGAATCTAGCAGACCATGAAATAGACTTTGCAAGATCAAGCAATGTGCTAAGGCCCAGAAAAACATTATTTTAGCTCCCAGCTTCAGAAATTATGAGGGAAATGAAGCACTATATTACAGTTTGAGGTACACACACTAAATAAGCCTTTTTAGTCAGAGGCACTAGGAAAGAGAAGAGGAGATTATTCGTAACTGCAAAAAGTACAGTTAGGTTATTTGGCACCTTTACTTTAATGTCCTAATGCTTTTAACTTCTTACAGAATGTGCTTTTACCAGAGAAGAGGTTGTAATACTTCCAATATAGGATAAGCTCATTTTAGACAGCAGAGGAGACAACTACATTCTGACGCATTACCAGAAGCAACTTGCCTATTCAGAAAAAAAAAATTTTCACACTTTGGGAAAAAAAAAAAAAAAATCAAAGCAAAACAATAAAAAAAAGTGTATCAGGTAAATGTAATACTTAGGCATCATATCTTGAACTGGCATTTAAAGTCTGGGGGAGGACAGTGAATATGTAAGAGAGACAGGTCTTGCACATGGCTTTAGATCTGGCAAAGAACTAGAAGCTGATGATGGTGAGTTATTCAAAGCAAATGTGAAGTTCAGGGAAGGAGAGCTGTGGAGGGGTCAGGTGAGCTGGGTTCCTGAGGTGATGCTCAGCCACGCTCTCAGGCAGGTTTCAATCCAAGACTGATTCTGCAAGTTCTGTAAAGGTTGCTGTGACTTCCAGATTGACTGCAAGCCTAAAGGTTCCCTGTAAATTTGTGCCTGTAGGTAAGACAGACTCCAATTAGTATAAGCAAAGTGAGAATATTTGGACAATTCTAATACTAAAGATTTTCAGCAGCCATTTGACTGGTTAACATTTTTCCCTCCTAACCTTAACTCTGCTGTCCTGTTCTGCAGTGTGATAGAAAGCAGGGAAAAGGGCTTACAGTACACTAAAGTCCACAGAAAACAAATCTCATTTAAGAAACAAGGCGTTCCTCATAGCTAAAGAAATAAAATGTATTTTCCATTCTGTGAATACTACATTAAAAAAAATAAAACATTATAAAAAGAGGAAATGTTGCAAGTCAAAATAAGAATGCTTTTAAAGTTAAAGTTTTTAGCAGTTCATCCAGCCTTACTTTTTCTTAATCCATATAAGAAGTTATCAGAATCAATTCTAGAATATGGAGATGCAGATGTGGCCCCTGATCCCTTCTCTCGACTGAGGAAGAAGGCAGAGCTTTGAGAAACACTGAGAAAGCAGCAGGCCATCTGAGGATACGGCAAGCACTGTGCCTCGCCCCCAGCCAGTCACTGTTCATTTTCTGTAACCTGGAAGAGAGGATTAGGGCATTTTTGTTTTGTTTTTGCTTGCTTGCTTGTTTTGAGAGAAGCGCAAAGCCCTTTCCAACCTATGAAGGATCCCAGGATTTATTACTCCCTAAGTACCCAGCTGTCTTCCCAAAATACTGCGAAGGCAGGACAG